GGGGGGGGGGGGGGGGGGGGGGGGGGGGGGGGTGGAGGTGGAGTAGAAAGGATACACATGTAACTCTGGTTAATTTAGTATAGTTTAGTTTAATGAGTTCGTCACCAAAATACAAGAACAAATAAATTTAAATAGACAAACAACTAACTTTCAAATAGGCAAATAAGTTCAAAATAGTACGGGATGTGATGTGACGGGGGAAAGAAACAGAACTAGAGTCCCAACTGCTATCTAAACCCATACTGTACTCAACATACTCTAATATAGACAATCAAAATAAGTACAAGGAACTAAAGGAACTGTGATAAATATGTCAATTATTGTATAAGTATCAAACCTTGTTAGTTTCTCGCGTGGGGGACTGTAAGTTCCTCGCTTTAATAAATGTGCTGTTTTCAACTAAAAGACAGTCAAATGTTATGAAAAGTTGTTTAATAACGTCAGTTAATAAATTGAAACTCTTCTCATAATTTCTTGACAAATTAAAGGGAGGGTTTCACGGTTCGGCACATGCGCAAGCTACAGCGTTAATCATTCAATTTCATTGTTTATAAAACAATCGGAAGCGTGCAAATGGCTCTTGCAGGAAATTTGCCTTTAAAAATTTCACGGTCAGTCAGGAAAACATGACGATATAGGTGAGATTTCTCATTGAAATTCCTTTCGTATGTTTAAACTCCATGCATGAAGTATATTTTCGTTTTCGTATCAACAAGATGTATTTGGGAAATCACAGACTATAATTTGGCGAAAGCTTAATGATAGCCTTTGAGTAGCTACACGGCTACACGAAGGCTAGGATAATGACTGGTGTCCAAATTTTATGGAAGATGTAAACAGATTTAGACAGAAAATAGCGATTTTAGAATTAAACATCAAATTCGTTATTCGGGCCGAGCCGTTTACTCTGGAACAGACCAACGAGTTATGTACTCGCATCTGATTGGTTTATAAACAATGGAATTGGGTGGGGTTACGTCACAACTTGCACATGCGTCGAACCGTGCAACAGTCCCTTTAATCATTGAATCGTATGCTGAACACTGTGTAAATGGTAATGACGATAAACTGAACACAGTTGTGAAGTGAAATTGTAAGCATGATAGCGATGTATTATATGTAATCGATATAGATACTGCTCAACAGACCACTTTCGATATATTAAAATTCAGCTTGATAGTGAGGCCTAGAGGACACAAATAAAATAAATGAATAAACATGTCATTCAATTTCCTTTGTTTGTGTCCTCTAAGTCTCACTGCCAAGCTGAATACTAATACACCGAAAACGGTCCATTCCAAAACTACACCAAAAGGCCCTTACATGCCTTTACATCATAGTAAGTAGAACATTTGAATTCATGGTTTGAGCTG